GTCTCGCTAGTAAAGTTTTGATAGATGAAGACTGCAATCACGGTTAAGGCGATTGCGGTGGCGTACAGGAGTCGTACAGTAAGCACACATGAGTCCGTTATAATAAATCGTGTATGAGTGCTCTTGACGCACTGATCAGACATTGTATTTATGCGCAGCACAGACATTTCCGTACATTCACGTTATTTCCACACACATTCACGATAATGTTTTGATTTGTCATGTGTTTAGTTATTCTGAATGGATCCATGTACTGTAGTAGATACATGCAGTCAGCAGGCGGTGGGTTTAGGTTTTTTTTGGCATCTCCATGTGGTCCTGTTCGGTATGGCAACTTGACTTCTCTGTAAAAATTTTTTTTTTAAAAGCTCTTTGCTGTTGCACTGTAAACATACTATAAAATTCTGATTAATTTTTTCTTTCATATGTGCTTATATGGGCTCCTTGTTATATAGAAACAAGATAAATGATCTATGCTTAATTTCATGAAGTGTGCGATTAATCACAGAAAAAGGGTGTGATTAATTAGATAAACATTTTTAATCTATTGACAGCCCTATTTAAAATGTAATTTATTCCTGTCATGGTAAAGCTGATTTTTCAGCAGCCATTACTTCAGTCTTCAGTTTCAGAAATCATTCTAATATGCTAATTTGGTCCTCAAGAAACATTTATTATTATTATCAATGATGAAAACAGTTGTGCTGCTTAATATTTTTATGGAAACTGTAATTACTGGTAGTAACTTTGCAACTACATGCCAACTAACTCTCATTAGAGTATTAGTAGACTGTTAGGTTAGGGTTAGTAGAATAAATTGACGTGTACTTGCAAAGTTACTTATAGTCAGTAGAATGTCTGTTGGGGTGCCATCAAAATAAAGTGTTTGCCGATATAGAGCAGACAATAATAATTTGTCTAATGAATGACTGGTAGTTGTCAAAGCAATGGTAGTTGCAAAGTTATTTATAGTTAGTAAAATAAAGTGTTACCTTATTTTTTATTTTTTTATTTTTATGCTGACGTCAAACTTTTGAACGATTGGATTGTGTATATTTGACGCAAATCAATCCGTCTGGACAGTTATATGCACTGCACCCTTCAGAGAGCTCACTTCAAGTGCTCTGCCCAAGTGATGCTCACTTTCAAATGGAAGTCACCCAGTGTGTGAGTAAATGCTATTATAACTGAGGATTGCTTTGAGCGTATTATGAAAACTATGAACAACACAATTCCATTCATACAACAAACGCAATGACTTTTTTATCAAGCAGATAATATTGGAATCATTTGTTTACACCTGAGGCCATGTACATAATGTAATGACTTTTTAGCCAGCAAGATTGTCCGTTTGCAGTTTGATCCTGTTGTGCGGTGAAGTTAATATTGTGGAACACACATTCCTCAGGGTAGAATTCTCCCTTCTTTGCTCAACATGTGCTCATGCTGACTGTGGATGCAGACCAGACACGCTCCTTCTTGTGCAAACATGCTGTTGTGAGAATAGAATGTTGGACTGCCTCACCGTCCTTGCTTTTTGCCTCTTTCCAAGATTGCTTATGCTCCCACACACCTTCATCTAGTATTATATTACCTACTTCTGGTACTAAATTGGCGTCTACATTTTGATTTTGAGTTGTTTGTAAGCTCATACATACTCAGTCAAATGTTTGGACACACTTGACTAAACTGGTTTCTCTTGATCTTAAAAAGCTTTTCATCTGAAATCCTAGGCTTAAATGCTTGTATTTAATTTTGTAGACAAATATAAGTTGGCTAAAAAATTTATTCATTTTAAATTAATCAAACAGTTCATTAATTAGTTAAATCATTTTTTATGAGGTTATAATATATTTACTATTTTATGTAATAAAGTTTTATTTTAAAATATAAAATAATGTTATTTTATTCATTCTATTTATATAAACTAACAGTTTAAATGTATTTATTATTTTTATAAAATAAATAAATATTTAATAACATTAAATAATATTGATTATTTTTATTTATTTATTTATGTTTGTTTGTTTATTCGTTCATTCATTTGTTTATTTATTTATTTTAAATGCCATGCAAATATCATGTGCTTTTAATTACTAATACAACCATCTCATACTCCCTCAGTAAATCTTATAAGGGAAGGGACCCTCTTGAAGTTCCTCTCTCACTCTCTCCTTAAGCCCATCTCTTTCAGTCCAGCCTTCCAGAGCTCTTCCCTTCTACCCTTCAGACCCCTCGCTCAACCCCTTACCACTCTCTCTTCCCTACCTCCCATCCTCTCCTTCTCTGCCAGGCATGTGTAGTCCTCCACCCAGCCAAGAGGTATGCAAACAGTACGTCCTGCTCAGCGGGGCAGCAGTGTATTTAGATAGAGGGAGGGGAACTGAAGCGAGCAGTCCAATCTATCCCTCCATCAGAACAAAAGACCTCATTGTGAGCAAATGAATACCAGACCCAGACATATGTAAGATTCCTTGGCCTTAAAAGAAAAGTAAAAGGAGTTTAAGTGACTACAATTGTTATGTAACAGAGAAGAAATAGGTCAGTTTTCACATCCCCACTTATCTGGAAAAAAAGTTCATGGTGCAGAGTCCAGGTTAAATTAAAACTCTTTTTACTCATTTAACTTGTTTAAGGGTAATTCAAGATGTCATGTTTTGTATGAAGTATTTAAATGAGAAGCAGTCCCCGATTTCTTGGCAGTTCTTAATGGCATAAACTGTAGATATATTATTTTTTTTTTCCCAATCCACTTAAAGTCTGTTGATTTAGATTACATATATAGACTTGATCCTTTACAAAAGAAGGTCTTGTTTGATTGACAGGTCAGTCATAACCGAAGAATCTGAAGCACTGAAAAGAGACGTGCAGGTCCTGCAGGTAAGGACTCGTTTTTGCCAATAAACGCTGGTTTTGATTGAATTTAATAACATGTTTTGAATCTGCATCAGGAGGGTGGAGGAATTTATTTTAAAAAAAAAACAACAACAACAACAACGCCTCTGAGCACTTTTCTTTTGCAGTTTCTACATAGAAAAAAATGTATGGTCAATGATCAATTATTTTTTGTTTTAAGTTTTTTGCTCATTTATTGTCTGTCAGGTCAAAATGGTCCAATCATTTCTAGGCAAACAACACGATTTGACGTATCAGTCATGTGCCATGTTTTGTCGTGCTTCGAGTTTATTATAATATTAGAGAATTTAATCAGTTCCCCAAGCCTAAGTATGAACAATAATAAGCGATTCTATCCTTAGCAAAACAATATCTACTAATAACAATATGTAATTATTTACAGAACCACAAAGTGCTTATTTATGTAATTGCACAGTATGAACACTAATGTAAAGTGTGAAATAAAGAAAAGTTTAGTTTTAATGTTTTACACATGCAGCTGGAAAAATGCATAATCATGCATCAACTACCATCAAACGAACATGTTTTTTATAATGAATCACAGAGCATTTCTAGTATATCTGGAAACTCATGTTAAACTAGCTCCTTAAGATCTAGAGCTGATTGATGCAGGAAGATTTCCATCTATGCGGCTAAACACTGATCTCCTCTCAATCAACATTAACATTAAGCATCAAATATGGTTTTATGGGTTGGTTGTGATTACGTCATGTCACACAGCAGTTTCACATTCGGGGTGGACAGACAAATTACTTCTTGCTGAAAATTTGTCTCATCAAACTGGGCTGCCCTTGAAGTTCACCTAAATTGACAGGCACATTATTGGCAGTGCCAAACCAGGGCAGAGTTTCCCTCTGGACTGGAATGTGTTCTGTCACGTACCATTACATTTGAAGCTGAAGAAATTAAACAGTTCCTCTGGCATACATACATCTGAACACTGAATAATCAGAATGTTAGTGTTAGCCAAGAATTTAATGTTTGATTTAGACCAGTTGTTCTCAACCAGTGGCCCGGGACCCACTAGGGGTCTCAGCACAAAGGGGGCCACAAAATGGCTTTAAAAGGGACCTATTATGCCCCTTTCTACAAGATGTAATATAAGTCTCAGGTGTCTCTAGAATATGTCTTTGAAGTTTCAGCTCAAAATACCCCACCAATCATTTATTATATCATTTTGAAAATGCCTATTTTGAGAGGAAGGAGAAACACACTGTTCTCTTTCATAGGGTCACTCAACGCTGCATAGCTATAACGCAATGGGAATGCCCCTTGGGTGTGCTGATTGTCTGAAGCCCGTATGCAATCATGCCAGTTCATTGGCTGATGGCACAAGCACCACCTCGATGTCACTACGTCACCCACTCTAATACTAGCGACTGCACCATCCGCTCCTCAGATTTCCTTCCTTCAGAAGCAGTTGTTTAGACCTTCAGAAGCGATTTATCTGACCCGTGTTTCTGATTATTTCTTTGAGTTTCTCTTTTGCACTTCAGCGACTGCATTCAGTAGAACCTCGTTTCTCCTTGCGGTGAAGTGCTATGGAGTTTCGTCGCTGCTAGCTGCCGTGCTCTCACTTTATCGCGAGCGACGACTCGCACAGTAAGTGTGTTAAATATATGGGTTTGTCTCACGCACACAGGGCTTTTTACGATACTTCTAACTAAATTTTGTGAGAATCTCCATCTCAAAACTGTTCGCGCGAGGCTCATGGTTTTTGAGAAGGAGTCATCCATTTTCCCCCGTAGCACTGTCCCTCTGTCGCCCTTTCTGTACCTCTTTCGCCTGAGTGCTCTCGTGCGGATTCACTGGTGGAGTTTGTCCACGATTATTTCTGTCCCAGCCCGGAGGCACGTGAGTTTGTTTCCTTCGGATTAGATGACATTTGTACACCGCGGCGTCTCAGGAAGGAGCCCGTTAGCAGGAGTGATGACTTGGTGTGTCTCCCACCTCTTACAGTTTGGGGAGCTCGCGGTTGTCCTTCGACCTGTCAGCACCCGTGTAAGCGGATTGAGCTGAAGCGCTCAGATTAACCTACGGCTTCAGCTTTGTCAGGTCATTCCTGATCTCTGTGTCAGGAAAAGGACAGCTTCCTCCAATTCGTGAGGGCGGGACAGACGGTCCAAAGAACTTGTCACTTGTGGCCGGCCCTCCACCTACTAAGAGTGTTGCGCAGTTGCTTTTGCACGGACAGCTTGTCAGAACGGACAACATGACGGTAGTGTCTCACATAAACTGCCAGGGAGGCTCACAGTCTCGCACCCTGGACAGGCATGTGCGCCGCCTCCTTCTTTGGGCTCAGGACAGGTTTCTTTCGCTGAGAGCAGATCGCGTTCCCGGGGCTCTGAACCTTGCAGAGGACTTCCTATCGATGCAGAAACTCAGGTCGGGGGACTAGATGCCGCCAGATGGTGGCTCAGATCTGGGATCTTTTCGGCAGGGCAGAGGTAGATCTCTTTGTATCGCAGGAATCAACCTAATGTCCCCTTTGGTTCTCCCTATGTCACCCAGCACCTCTGGGGATAGATGGTTTTGCTTACCCGTGGCCGGATCTGAGGCTGTACGCATTTCTGCTAATCAACTTGATTCTGGCAGTCTTGTGCAAAGTGAGGGAGTGCGGAGTCCGCCTCCTGTTGATAGCCCCATTCTGTCCATCCCAGACATGGTTCTCGGAGCTAGTCTCCCTTCTAGAGCACACCCCATTGGAGATTCCAATCAGGAAAGACCTGCTGTCTCAACTCCAGGGCAGGATCTGGCACCCATGGCCCAAGATTTGGAGGCTATGGGTGTGGCCGATCAAGCGCGATCGTCTGTGACCTCTGGTCTTCCTGTGGACATTCAAGAAACCATTGATAATGCTAGGGCTCCTTCTACTAGGAGGCTTTATTCTTCCAAGTGGAAGGTTTTTGAGTCGTGGTGTTTGGCTCATGAAGGGGACCCAGTCAGCTGCCCGAATGGTTCAGTGCTGGAGTTTCTGAAGGAGAAGTTTGTGGCTGGAGCAACTGCTACCACCATGAGAGTTTATGTTGCAGCTATCGCTGCTCGCAGGTATGCGGACGAAGTCCCCCTAGGTAGACATTGTTTGGTCTCTTTGTTTCTGCATGGGGTTTGACGTTTGAGGCCGGCGTGCCCTGTCAGTGTTCCTTCCTGGGACTTGTCTATCATTCTGGAGGGCTTCTGAACGGATTCTGACCCTTAAGGTAACAATCCTGTTGGCGTTGGTTTAAATCAAACACGTAGGGGATTTGCAGGCTCTCTCTGTTAGCGAGTCATGCATGGAGTTTGCTCCGGGCCTTGTTAAGGTACTCCTACAAACCAGACCCAGTTAGGTCCCCAAGGTCTTGTCCACGTCATTTCGTTCCCAGGTGGTTGTGCTTAACTCCTTCTGTCCTCCTCCTTTTGCTTCTGTTGAGGACGAGAGGCTTCACCTGCTCTGCCCGGTTCAAGTTTTGAAGCTCTAAGTTTTGAAGCTCTAGCCAATGCTGCAAGTCCTCCCAATTGTTGGTGTGTTTTGGTGCTGGCCGCAGAGGGCTTGCCGCATCAAAACATAGGATTTCTGATTGGGTAAGGGACGCTATTTCACTTGCGTATGAGGTCTCTCTTCAAGGCTAGGTATTCAAATTCATTCTACAATGAGTGTTGCTTCCTCTCAAGCTCTTTTCAGAGGAGTTCCACTAGAGGATATCTGTGTGGCGGCAGGATGGTCCTCTCCTCACACTTTTATCAGGTTTTATAGCTTGGATTTAGATGCGGCTCCTGGTTCACAGATTCTTTCTGCTTGAACCAGCCGTTTGAGGTTAGCCTGGTCTATTTTGCATTGGGTCAGATATGGCAGAGCTTAGCTTGGCGGGTGTAGTGTATTGTTCCCATTGTTCCCATTGCGTCATAGCTACACAGCGTTGAGTGTACCTATGAAAGAGAATGTCTCGGGTTACTCATTTAACCCATGTTCTCTGAATAGGGAAAGAGACGCTGCGTTCGCTGCCAAGCTCCTCGCACTACTGACAGGACTTCTTCGACAGGAAATCTGAGGAGCGGATGGTGTGGTCGCTAGTAAAGTGGGTGACGTAGTGACGTCGAGGTGGTTTTCGTGCATGTATCTTTAAATGCAAATGATCTGCTGCTCCCTGTCCCTGCCCCTTTTGCCAGAATATCTCATATACTCTGCCAAAACAAAACATCTGGTTTGGTTTTGATTATCATGACTATCGCACTGAAATCAAAGCCATATCAGGCCTAGTCCAAACATACACGGGTATTTTTATAAACTGAGTGTTTCCTCCTTCGTTAGAAAAAAAATCATCCACATGAAAATGCAAAAACACGGCAATATAACCCTAACCGTAAAGCCATGTTGGCCAATCACAGACTCGCCTCATGTAAACAAAGGAGATAGTAGTGTACAATCTGACATCAAACAAAGGAGATAACAGCGCGCACTCCGACGTCACAAACCAAAATCTCCGGTTTCACCGGCTACACAACAACACTGCAACTTTTTTATCATTATAGGGTGGTTGTGTACACACACTGCCAGCACACATTTATGTTCAAACAACATGTAAACGTGAATTTTGCATAATAGGTGTCCTTTAAATTGTTTAAAATAATAAAACAGCTTTAAAATAAGCTAAAAATCAAGATGTAAACTAACATCATATTTGCAACAAGAACCACTAGACCAAGGTTTCCATAATTCCATAGAGTTATGTCAGGCTCTAAAATATTTTATTCAAGTTTCTGTTTTTGAGTAAAATTAATATTAAACATGATTATAAATGACTGGAAAATTAAACTGTAAAAAATGAATGCGTATATGAATACATTGCTTATACCAAGTGTTAACTCTGAAAAACATTAATTTTTTGAAACTTCCAGAATTTACGAAAATATGAATTTAATTAGTTTTAATTTTAAATATTTACATATTAACCACAGCAGTGTTGAGATACTAGTATAGTTTTTGTTAAAATTTTTAATTAGATGTTGTTTTTGTATTTTCTGTGTAAAGAAAACCATTTTAAAAAGTTTTAAAGATTTTAAACTTGTAATGTTTGCCTTTTTTGTGTTTTGGTTATTTTTAGTTTTTGTCTATGTGGTTTTTAGTGAATTTAAGTTTATTTAGTTTCAGTTATTTTAGTACTTCAATATCATACACCTTGGCAACTAGCTGAAATAAAATGTTTCTTTATATTTTATTTCAGTTAATGTTTATTTCAAGTAATACATTTTTTTTAAATGGTTAGCTTTAGTTTTAGTTAGCGATAATAACCCTGTCCCACAGACATCTGCTCATCTGACTCTTGACCATACTGAGTGTGGAGGGAGTGTGGCAGAGGGTGTTTTGCCTCTCTCTGCTCTTAGATTTCAGTGACTGGCCTCATAACTGTGGCTTTGGTATTTCTTTTCCAGCTGGATTCTGGGGTTACTGCCGCTGCCCACAGACCACAGGACTAAAATGAATAGTCTCCCATATGCTGTCAGTGAGGGCACTCTCCTCATAGAGCTGAGCTCTGTTTGTTTTTGTTTCATTTTAAAAGGATGAGTGTATAATGCATGTGCTGGACAGCAAGCATGACTACAAGATATAGCAGTGACTCAGAGCAAATAAACCAAGGCAGTAGGCAGATTGGTGTAATAATAGTACTCCTCTGCCATATAACATGTGGGCTAATGGAGATCCATGGTTTGCAGCGAAAGCATGTGGTTTGGAGTCCAGTTTTAAGAGCTCAGCCTCAGTGGAGCAGTGCTGTGGAATCATTATGCGAGCTCTGGATCTGCTTCAACAACACACTATAATAGTAAAGCCTGAAAGACAAAACCATTTCATGGTAAATCTGTCACTTTTTCCATTCTGAATCTGATTTCAAAAGTCACAGAAACTCTAGAACATCTTGTGCTTTCATGTTTTAATCAAACAAGAATTTTAACAATTACTGATGCAATACACTACTGTTCAAATTTTGGAGTCAGTAAGATATTTTAATGTCAAAAGAACTCTTATGCTCACAGAGGAAATACAGTATAAACAGTAATTTGTGAAATATTATTTCACTTTTTGGTGAAATAATGTTTTCTATTGTGGTATATTTTAAAATGTAATTTATTATTAATTAATTTATTAAATTAAAGTGACGTGACATGTGGCCAAGTATGGTGACCCATACTTGGAATTAGTGCTCTGCATTTAACCCATCCAAAGTGCACACACCCAGCAGTGAACACACACACAGCAGTGAACACACACCCGGAGCAGTGGGCAGCCATTTATGCTGTGGCGCCCGGGGAGCAGTTGGGGGTTCGGTGCCTTGCTCAAGGGCACCTCAGTCGTGGTATTGAAGGTGGGAGAGAGCTTGGAGTCATTACTCCAGTCTTCAATGTCACATGATCCTTCAGAAATCACTCTAATGTGCTGATTTGGTGCTCAAGAAACATTTCCGATTATTGTCAATGTTGAAAATGGTTTTGCTGCTTAGTATTTTTGGTATCCATGATACATGTTTTCAGGATTCTTTGATAAATAGAAAGTTGAAAAGAAAGTATTTACTGTCACTTTTGATCAATTTAACGTGTCCCTGCTGATTAAAAATTATTTCTTTAAACAACAACAACAAAACATAATAACCTCAACATTTTGTTTTGTGTTAAAAAAAGAAAGGTTTTTTTTACCAACCTAGATGGTTTGCTGGTCTCGCAGGGTGGTCTGTTGACTGGTTTTAGAAGGGAATTTGTTTTTTTGTTTGTTTGTTTTTTCACCAGGTCAGACTGGGAGACTTACTGAGTGCTCAGCTAAACACTAGCTAGGCCAGACTGTGAGACCTTAAACCAGCAAACCAAGGCCAGCAAACTCTGCCTTAAAACTTAGTGGAGAAAATGAAAGTATCATGGTGGGAGCTGAAATCCTTTGACTTGTTTTGATGTGTTTTATCACAGGAAAACCTTGAGACTGGGAAAGCCAGAGCTCAGCCAGAACCTTTATCTCCTGAACCCACCATAGCAGGTATGTGATTATTAATCTTGACAAAGGGATTCAGTTTTCACACAATTCTGTCTCAGACAAAAGCCTATTGACAGACTGAGCTAAAACAAGACTATAGTTCTGAGCAGTATTTGTCCATACGTTATAGTCAACTGGTGCCCTGCAGTCTCATTTGTTGAGCCGTCTTACTGCATAATTTTTCTTAATGTACATTACATCATAATGACCATTAAATCATCATATTATAAATCTTTGAACTCTCCAGATGTGGTGGACTTTTGAATTGTGTATCACCACCATCTAGTGGTTCACCATGGAAGCACTTTTTTCCTGTTTGTTTTTTAACCCTTTGGGCTGATAAAAAAAAAAAACTGTCAACCAGTGTGTGATGTGCAGATTCTTTTGATTGTATAGACAAGAAATCTTTCATAAAAAAACTTACGATAAATCAGTAATTAGAACCAGTTTTAGAACCATTTTCATAAGCACTTGTCAGTTGCGAAAGATTACAATCTTCAATCTACAAAGGTCAATCTTCTCAGACCAGAATGCTTGTTAATTGGAGTAATAAAGCAGAATTCTTTCTCTCTTTTTAATAGAATTGATTTTTTTCCCAAGGTGGTCATAAAAAGTTTTGTGGTGGAGCAGACTACCTATTACTGATTTTTTGTTTTCTCTATTGGATTCAGAGCTCAAAGAGGAACGGAGACTCATTCAGAGGAATCTGAATGAGCAGAGTTTAATAAGCTGCTGCCACAACACAAATAATCAGAGCGCCAGAAACCAACAAATCCATGCAAGGTCAGATCACCTTCCTAGAATAAGTCTTTGTATGTAGCTGATCCTTATATTATATAATATATCCATAAATATATATATATATATATATTTCATGACAACTCTCGGAATGAATTTTACCAGCATTTATTAGTAAGCATGGAATGTGCATAGGCTTGGTCTTGGTGGACTAGATCTGCTACGTTGCTGATGCTGCTGCTGCTGGAGTAAGGATACATCTGAAATACACGTGAAATGGTGACTTGAATTCAGACTGCCGCAAGGAAAATAGGGAGAACCCCCGAGCAGATCTAGGCAGGTGGTGCTGGGGATGGGGAAGTGTTATTGAAATCCCATGGCGTGCTGCAATGAACTGATTCAATACAAGTCAGGAATAAATAGGTTACGTAGATAGGAACGAACAAATGATTGGATGAGCAATCGGCTTTAAGTAAACCAATCAGCTGCTCGGAAGAGTTTAATGACCGAACTATATATATATATATGTTTTTTTTTCTGTTATAGGGAGACACGCAAACTTGCTCTCTCTGCAAATGACTCGGAAGGACCGAAACCATCAAACTCAACAGTCCCCCATTTTAAACCATGTCCGCCTAGAGACCCAAACCACATCAGGAGCGATCTGCCACTAATGAGCTACTCAATTGCTGAATCCACGATCCCTATTTCTGCTTTGGAACATGGGAACAAAGAGTGCAAGTACAGAGGAAATTCACTAAGAGCTTCAGCCTTCAGACTGGTTCCAGCGGCCTCTGTCAAAGCATCCGGATCTGTAAAAGACTTCTTCCTAAAGATGGAAGTGACTCAAAATAGTGACCTAGACTGTCTCCAGCCCGCTCCTCCTGCAGTGCAGATAACAGCCAGCAGGGGGCAGAGGGGGAGCAGACACCTGTGTCTTCCTCAGCCTGACAGCTTGCTCAGTTCTCTGTGAGAATCGCTGCATGCTGCTCTACACACTGTCAGTTAGTTGAAGCTCATAGGGGGGGGAAAGCCATAAAACACAAACCACAAGCTGATCTTTAAAATAAACTTTATTTACCATTTCAAATTGAACAGTTTACAGCTGACATGACTAAGACAATTTCAATGCTGTTTGGCCCTAAAATTGAAAAGACATGGTTAGATATGTTTGAAGCTCATGTCATTGTGCTTGTCATTCTACTTCACTACTATATTGCCATGAGCACAGAAGAACACACACACTATTGTAAAGACATTGCTTTTAGGATGCAGGACAGGGAGAGAAAGGTTTTGTTTTTTTGCAATTTTGTATTTTCTGTTGCTTTCAAACACATATTTTTAAAGTGCCGTAACAACATGAAAATACATGACACGGTTTTGAATAAACATTTCATTAACCAAAAAAGTACACAGTTTCAGTTATGCCGATTCTTTTTATAGTTCTTAATACAGCCACAAAACTGTGCTTAATGGATATTTCCATCTTGGACCAAGAGGTATTTGATGAATTCTAGTATTTCTGTTTTGCTTGTTTTAAACACAGCCCTTTCATGTCATTTCAAAGTGTATGCCGTCACAATTAAATTTACACTAAGAAACTGTGAAGTATAGTTTGAGAGCCCGTTCAAATTAGAAGAAAAGTCCGCTTAAAAAGTGTTCGGTTCTTCTCAGAAACATTATCTTAATATACCCAAATAAAATTCAGACAATATTAATTCAGTTTTGATAATTTCAAATGCATTTCGAAAATATTCAAAGATCGGCATAAGTGTTAAAACATTCTTTCCAGGCAATCAAATGTGCTTTCTCTGTTTCATTTTACATTGTGCATAATAAATGAAACTGGATCACGGGCAGACAGAAATGTTCTTAAAGGGTTTGCAGCATTACAAATACACGTGTACAATACTGAGATGAAGATATAACATTGCTGGCTTTAGACTGTGTCCTTCTTCATCAATAAACGGTTTCTGTTTGACCAGACACTGCTGTAAAAAGCATTCCTGAATTTTTCAAGTTTCAGTCCAAAGCCTTAGTTTGGCAATGTGTTTGAGATCAGCTGGCTTGAAGAGGTTTAGGAGGAAAAAAAAGAAATAAAATGTAGTGTCATTGAACAAAGCTAAAAATGATTACAACTGATGATAAAATACAGTTTTAGTACTATAAAAATAAAAAGGAAAAATCTCTTACAAAGGTAGATTCTGTTTGTTAAATGGCAAAAAGCGGATAATTACATACTGATTAAAATTACATGACATCAACAGTGACACTAACATGAACTAGGTTTGACTCAGCAGTTGAACGTCCACTACACAGAACACTCTGTACACATAACAGTAGCTACGTTACCATAAGAAATAATGTAAAAACAACTAAAAATAAACCCCACTACAGCAACCCACCCTGATAAAAACAGAAAACACAAACATAGACATCAGTTTTTTTTGTTTGTTTGTTTTTTTTTTTTTTACATTACTGTACAATGGAGAAAGAGGACAAGAGGTGGGGAACAGTGCAAGAATGGCACTGATGCATAACGTGTCTATTGTTATAAAGAGTTTGCATGTCAAGCTCAATATCCAGATCTGTTCACATCGCAGTACCTAGAGACAGACACATGGTCTTCATGCCACGTTCAAGGTCTGAGGACCACACATCAGAAAAATGAGAGGGCTTCAATCTTGTGCATTCATATTTCTGACAGCGATTATTAATCATACTGTAGCTACCGCGCACGTAGCCACCTAAAGTGAACCAGTAAATAAAAGTGCTGTTAGCCTCCCGACACCTAAACTGCTGCTCTAATCTATGGCACTAACTGTCTAACAGAGGAAAAGCTAGAGTGCGTGACCTGTAGGTATGGTTGTGCTAAGACCAATGAACCTCTAACTACTCCCCTGAGTGTCCGATACCTCCTGTTAGGCAGCAGGGTTACTTTTATTCTTCTCTCTTTTTTCCCTACTTCTTAAAGTTAGATTGTGTTTTGTATATTTTTGGATAAAATCTTAAAAATATATATATCATACCTTCATGCAGAAATTAATGAAATGTACATATCACAAAGATGTAGACTATTATGCCATCAGGTTTTTGAGTACTGACTTTATCTGTGACCTGCTCCATCATTTTGAGTCAGAGTTTAGAGTCTAGAGTTTTATGCACTGAAAGAAAAGTCTCAAACATATATAAGAAAGCTTTCAAAAATATAAGAAAAATTGTTTATGATCCTTTGCTGAAATATAATTAAATGGCGCTGCCACAAAAACTTGAGAAAATGACATCTAAATTCCAAACAATTTGCATATATTTTTTGATAGAATCTGGTGATTTATTCAAGCATACTTTTATATTTACGATTTTATATTTACGAAGTTTTTTTCCCCTCGAGCAATTGACACTGAATGACTTTTCTGAGGTAAATGTAACGTCAGGTGACGTTCACAAGCAGTTTTATTCACATCTTTTCGCGACTGAAACACGATTACATGAGAGACGACACATTCAGTAAGTTGTACTGCATCTTTCAACATACCTTCTGATTCATTTATTTTTTCGTGCTATAACCAGTAGTAAAGAAAAAAAGATGATCGGTTCACGCTTGCTTCACGCTGATTTTAAACTGAGGCAGCTGTAGCAAACAGTGACATGTTAAAATGAAGCTAATTTGAAAGCTGAGACTTTGTATTATCAAAATTAATGCAACAAAGCAATATTTTTTTCCGCTTATAATCGCATTTCTTCACCTCTTTCCGACTCAGAATGACAGAGCACATCTCATATGGCATTTCTCCTCGCACCACACAGGAGAGAAATACCAGATAAACTACTTTGACATGACTATATACAGCGATTCACTGTTTAATCACAAGTCTCAATACATGACGCGTCAGCACATTAGCAGCTGCATTGTCAGACTCCCTGTTAAAAGGAGTCAGGCAACATCCCAGACAAATTCACAGTGTAACCAGGACTCTTTATCCATGTACATGTGCCACTATAACCGTATGCATCGTAAGTAAAGGGCCTTGTTGAAATGTCACTGGAATGAAATGACACGCGGCATCTAACATACCAAAAATATGAACATAACTCTCCATACCAGTATCTTCCCCTCTCTATTGCCTTCAAAACCAAAACGAAACAAAATGCACCATATTAACATAAAATTCTGTGGTTTCTATTGCGTAAATGGGATGGTTTGGCCTTTTATTTGTCTTGCAAGTCTATTTCACATTATTTTACAATACGAGGAAAACATTCCATTAACCACAGTGATTTTGACTAATGCTACGTTTACTTCTGGTCATTCCACATGCAACCTTACCCCTTATTTCAGTGTTCGATGACACGACCGTTCAGCTCAGCACAGCCAGATGCCTTTAAATGACACATACACACCAGTTCAAGTCTCTTAACACAGACAACAAAAAATACACACAAACACAAACATACCAACTAAATCAGAACACAAAGGTTTGTGCACATGTTTTTGGTAACATGCCTCTTTTTCCGTGTAGAGCGGGGTTAGCATAACTCTCCATACCAGTATCTTCCCCTCTCTATTGCCTTCAAAACCAAAACGAAACAAAATGCACCATATTAACATAAAATTCTGTGGTTTCTATTGCGTAAATGGGATGGTTTGGCCTTTTATTTGTCTTGCAAGTCTATTTCACATTATTTTACAATACGAGGAAAACATTCCATTAACCACAGTGATTTTGACTAATGCTACGTTTACTTCTGGTCATTCCACATGCAACCTTACCCCTTATTTCAGTGTTCGATGACACGACCGTTCAGCTCAGCACAGCCAGATGCCTTTAAATGACACATACACACCAGTTCAAGTCTCTTAACACAGACAACAAAAAATACACACAAACACAAACATACCAACTAAATCAGAACACAAAGGTTTGTGCACATGTTTTTGGTAACATGCCTCTTTTTCCGTGTAGAGCGGGGTTAGTGTGCATACTACAGTACTGAATCTAATGAGGAACTAGCTGCTTCTGTTATCGCACACATGCCCCCTCGCTCAGGAGATGCCTCGACTTGAGATGCCCGGAAGACAAGACAGATTTGGCATTTCATGTGGAAGTTCCTACATGAAAACCCCTCTCCTTCGTGTCCAATTCTCAACATCAGCAACAAATCATCTCAAGGTGTTGGAAAATGTTTTGCAAAAAAGCAAACTGTGTGTAACCCTGAGAATGGGCTTGAGAAGTGATATGCCTCGGTCCAGATACCTCAGTCAGTAAGAGCTTAAGACCAAATATCCTTTGTTTTGTATTTGTGCTCTCACTTAATTGGAAATAAAGTTGATATTCTCTTTGCCTATGCTTATTTATTGGTATCAGCTAGTCCACTTGTCTGATTAACTAAAGTGTTAGCTCCAAAATGTACTGGTAGTCTAGTCAAAGGATAATAGATGTGTTCTGTTTTGTAGTTTTAGGTGGATCTGGAGTTAATACAGTGTTAAAAGGTCATTTAACATGTATTATATCATATACTGGCATTACATTGAATATCAGCCACCCTGCTCTCAGACACCAACATTGGCCATTGAAAAACCCATACTGTCTTGTGAATGAGATGGTTCCCAAACAAGAAAATGGGTATAAAACAGAAACTGAAAATAACACTCCCCATTACAACATCACCACAAAGAATATTTGGTCTTCAGCTATTAAACCTGACCAGCACTGCCACCACTATACACACTCACAAGCCAAATCCCACTGTAGCTCCTGCTGCTGCTACAGTCACATTTCCAGACTACTCAACACAGAGTGAAAATATTGTACAATGCACTATATACACACTGCGTGTATGCAAACACCTCCTGTAAATGAACATGTCTTTTTTTCTTGTCTTTTAAAAAAAACTGCAGTATTAAATTATGCGAACAAAAAGAAAAAGGTTTTGGATGACAACCAGTTTCTCTAGAGGTTAGATTTCATAAAGCCCTTACAATATGTAAAGGTCTCCAGCGAGAGTGGCCTGTCCCGCAGTGAGGGAATGGGAACTGTCCTGGGGGGAGGGTGGGGAAGGGCTCCTCTATGCGCTGGGTGTGGGGTTTAATGTGGAGCCGTTGCTTCCTGGGATGGTCAAACCCATCTCATCCTTTTTCTCCGTCTCTTTCTCCTTGAGTTTCTCTTTCCCCTCGTCCTTCAGCTTTTCTTTGAGAGGGCACACCTCCACAGATTCGGGGCCCGCAGTGGCGTATCGGCCCTTGCGGTGCTCCTGGAGAGCTGGACCCCAGTCCGGGTCGGGCTTCACGGAGTTCTTCAAACGCTGCAGAGGTAAGAGTTAGTTTATCAACTGTTTTGACGTAGGATCGACATTTTAAAGCTAAAACTAGATCATTTTTTTTAAGGAAAAAAGTAGTTACCATGATTAACAATGAAGATTAACAATGGCGATGACATTGTAGAAATTATTTGCTGATTTAACGTTGTTGTTCACACCATAAAATGGATACACCAAGATAAAGTATTTGGCTAGTTATGTAAGCGTTCATGATTTAAAACATATTTCAAAAGTATTATTAATCTCTTTGTCTATTAATCTCAGCTCTTAAGGCAGAACACATAATACCTCTAAAAATGTGGATCCTTCAGACACAGCAATCTTGAACAGAGCATAGATAGGTATACAGATGACTGAAGACAAAGCCATGGCAAACCCAATGACCAATGACCACCTTGGGTAGACATAGTCATTGTAGGTAATAGGCTTGTACTGTATCACAGTAAAAATCAGAATGAACTGTGAAGAGACAGAGACAAAAAAGGATTAGATTAGTTTGAGTGATACGGAGAAATCTGATTCAGAAGATGGAAAAACTTGAATCAGAAACACCTAATACAGACTGTCACTCACAGTAATAATGAAAGGAGACACATATCTCCAGCAGATCCTGAAGAAGAGCGGAGGAGGAAAGCCTAGCATCATTTCCACATCTTTAAAATAGTTCTTGTGACCTACATGGGAACACAACATTCAAATGAACAGCTCAGTTTACATCCAGCTACTGTGGCCTTTACATAGAGCATGTAGAAAGTGACTTAGAGGACTCACCATAGACATACATTATACAGATACACATGATGCAAGAGACGACGACCAGAGAGAAACTGGCAGCGTAGTTGTCCATAAGCAGCAACCAGTATATTCCTGCCTACATCACACACAGCACAATAGATCAATCCATAGATAAAGAACGTGTGTGTTTGTGTGTGTGTGTGTGTTTTTGTTACTCACCTGTGTGGTGAGCGGCACTCCCAGGAGGAATCCTACTATGGCGACTCCCAGCGTGACATAGGTCTTATTTTTGATAATCCAGTCAGTTCCAATCTCATCAACTACAGCCGTCACCAGAGTCTCCAGCAGACAGAACTACAACAACAATGAACAGAAAGAAAATAAGGAATTGTATGTCACTGAAAGAAATACCAGTGCATGGTAAAGCAGCAAAATAATAATGTTGTAGGTAAAAATGTAAATAAATAAATACATATACATAAAAGGAGAAGGGAAAAGAAATTGATAATAATTAGCATTTTAAGATAAACAGATGAAAAAATAAAAGAACAAATCACAATTCAGTATGCAAACAAACAGGGCCATACTGTATTTTGTACCATATTCTGTATGCAAATAATATGTGACCCTGGACCACAAAACCAATTTTTCTAAATTGAGATTTGTACTTCATCTGAAAGCTGAATAAATAAGCTTTCCATTGATGTATGGTTTATTAGAACAATATTTGGCCGAGATACAACTATTTGAAAATCTGGAATCTGAGGGTGCAAAAAAATCTAAATATTGAGAAAATCGCCTTTAAAGTTGTCTAAATGAAGTTCTTAGCAATGCTAATATTACTAATCAAAAATTAGGTTTTAATATATTTACGGTAGGAAATTTACAAAATATCTCCATG